TGCTCAGTGAATAACAGCTGCACATGTGATCTAGTGATTGGATCCTGCCCTATGACAATGACTTCCTATTATTCTGTTTTTCTTGCTAATACACAAAAGTGGTTAGTTGACTTAGAGGATATTTTTTCCTAAAATCACACTGTGACATGAAAAGACTCCTCTTTTCTTATTTGCCTCAGCCACCACTGACAAAAGACAAAATAGTCCTTGCAAATATATGAAAAGGATTCATGACAAGGAGTACTGGAGAAAAAAAATAAATAGAAAAGATAGGAAGCAATGGAAACTGAAGAAGGAAAATCCATTGGTATGCCTTGAAAAGCATGAACACTGTCAGCTAAAATAAGATAGCAATTAGTACGGGATTTAGATTCTGTAACACGTGAGAAATAATACAACCACCTACTAATTGAAGACAGTGCTATTCAAATGTTACTGATGAACAAAGACTGGTACATAATTATGTGAAAGGAGGGGGAGGGTTACAAGAAACATTTCAGTCTAGCAGACTAAGCCACAGCTGAGGGAAGCTAAAACAATAACCATGAAAACAAGCATTAATAAGCTACTGTCACAGTACAAAGAGGATAAAGAAGAACATGTTTGTTTACACAATGAGCCAAATTTTGTCTAAAGACAGACCTATCTTTCACAACACAGTCATATACAGATATGCACAGTATGGATATACATATGTCCTATAAAAATATCATCGTATTTTTTAGTCTCTTTAGTAATAATTTTGACAATGTGAGCTGGGAAAAGTTACATGTGATTATTTTTTTTAATTACTAATATACTTTTTAAATTTTTAATTGTGACTATAAAAAACAAATGCTCGCATCTGGCTTCTGGTGCCTGTTTAGCCATTAATAATCACTGGTTGTCCCAAAGAGATAGAAACAGCAAGAAACCTCATGTAACAGGGATGTTGTTAAAAGAAATTCATTAATACTGTATTTGCAGAGCACTCAAATACCACAGTAAGAAACAGCACAGAAAGGCCTATGAGGAAATTAATCATTCTGCATTCAGTGCAGGATCTGGCAGATGTGCAATGAAGAAAGCCTAGAGACATACATTAAATATGAAGATAAGAAAAGATTCTAGCCATTACCAGCAGAAATAATATCCTATGAATGAATATCAACTGCCTTAGGCATTAAATGTTTGATGTATTCTCATTCAATATAAGGGAAAACCCTCTGATTAATATGGTAATATTACAACAACTACCAGCCAGGTATTCTGTGCAAAATACAGATAGCATAATTAAAGTTTGCTGTAAATATATGCTATGGGATTAGTAATTCGTCATTTTTGCATGCTTAGTTTTGCAACTAAATAACATTCCCACAGTCCAGCAACTATTGGTAAATGTACATTATCTCAGCAGCCAGAGAATCCTGTCACCACAGCTGACAGAGTGTGGTATGTGTTAGCACAATAAATCAATCCATGTTCCACACTGCAGCCTCTGGACTCCTGTAATCAAGCTCCCCTTTACAGCTACCTCAAGTAAGTCAGGATAGCATAGAAAGGCTAAAAAAAGGTTACTGGAGTGATGACAAACATGCAGGTTCACAGCTAGCTCAGATATCTGCACTGGCATTGCAACTGTGAATTACTAACTTTATTTTATTCCACATCAGTTCAGTTCTGCTCCCCAGTCTACATAAGATATGCTTTATCTTACCCCATCAGCCCACATTTGAAGTCAGATTTCAACCTTCTTCTCTATTAATCAATAAGGACAGCTGCTGCAGAGGACACTAGGTAGGATGCATTGTTGTGATGGAAAAGATCTATAAAAGCAGCTTTCTACAGTTCTTCAGAAATGGGGAGAAGAGGCAATGGGACTCAATGCATGCCTGTCTAGAAAAAGGAAAGATGTGCTGGAATAATCTGTCCGGCAGAAATATTTTCAATTTCTGTGTTAAGATGCAGCAGTATAGGAGTCTACCATGGTTCCTTGTACAAAAAAGCCAAAACTGCACGAAAACATGGATAACCAAGTACTGGTCTTCAAGCAATCCCATGTGTTTAAACTGATTCTACTTTTTTGAAGCTACTTAAAGCAGACACGGCATGCTACCTGAAGATTCCCTTAATGGTCCCTGGGCAATATATTAACAGGTACATTCATGGCCAACAGGCAAATTATCCCTTGTCCTGGACTTAGAAATCAGTCTGTACTACATGAGGGCACAGCCCGGGGGTTCTGATAACTCAGTCTGCTGAAAAGAAAGGCAAGACTCTTCCACTCTCTTCATACAATAGCAATTCTCTCTCATATTCAGCAGCACAGCTAGGAGACAGTCTGACTCATGCATACAATCTGCCTTGGAAAGAAGAGCCAAACCTATGCCCACCTAGCAAGGTGAAGGCAGACTCAGAAAGACATGAAATTCCCAGAGTCCCACTGGCTGTGTATGTGCTTTCTGTCCATACTACTATGGCTTGAGTGCCAAGCAGGTTTGCTGCTTAGGATCAGTCAGAGTCTCAGAGTCATTTATCAGGTGATGAACCTCAGAGTAGTGCTTGGTCTCTCTGCTGCCTAATTCAGACTGACACCACAAGTCGGGGTTTGAGTCTGCTCAGACAAATATATTCTGGTTCTCCATCCTGAGAAGCTTCATAACTTGGCTGAACTACTGATTTGTTTACTGCTTTCTTCACCAAGAGAGGAATGTATCTGTTAAAAGGGTGCATGGCATATTTTAAAGACAAATCTGACTAGTTGCAGGAAAAAAATAATTAGTTGTTTTCATGCATATAAGTACAAACGATAATGCACAGTTCCCTTTCAATGATCAGTTCTGACGGATTTCAGAGGATGCAGATGGCCAGCCCCTCACAAGCAAAAAGATTAATTATTTTTGTAGATAGGTTTTCCAGGATAGCATAACAAAGATTAATGGTATCCGGGTTCTTTTTAAGCTAGCCTCATGCTTGACTTCTAGTTGACACAAACAGGACATACCATAAACTGCTCATACAAGGTCTACTCATTTCAACATAAAATTAAGACAACTGAATCTGACTGAATTTAAAACTAATTTATTCTTTTCAGGAATGCAAAACCAAAGAAAGATTTATCTAACTTCCATGGAGATAAAAACCAAACAACAAACCTAAATGAGTGAAAGAATTGCAACAGAGCTAGCAATCATCTCGCCATAACCAAGACATTCTAATAAAAATATCAGTGCAGAAATTAGCAGACCAAAACATGGAGTGAGAAAAAAAAAAACAAAAACATAGTGAGAAAATCTAGAAGTTATAATACTGATGTTTGAGAAAGGTTGATAGTACACAATGATATATACAATTTCAGGGTTCAAAGACGATGACAACAAAACTCACAACAACTACTATCAACTTTCTCCAATCTTTTGTAGCTTAGAGCACAAATATATTGATAATTTCATTTAAATACTGTAAGATTTCCTGTCTCAGAAATCTAGACAAGGCATAAGGGAAACAGAAGCTAGTAAAATGTAAAAGCCTGTGTTCTGGGTTTTTTCTAAGCTCACAGGTTAGATTAATTCCCACATAAATAGAAGGAAGCATTAAAAATTTCTCCTCCTTTTCTAGCTAAAAAATTCCCCTCATCTTTTCTTGAAAGAGGATAATTTTGGTGTTGGGAATTTTTAACAAAAGATACTTAAAATATCAGTTGCCAGTACATTGATGTGAATGTACAGGCCTATCTCTCCTATTCTCCAACTCATAAGAATTTGGGATATTAGAATCACAGGGAAAAGAAACAACTTTTCAAAAGTTAATTTCACTGACATTGATGTTAAAATACCTATTTTTTTTTGAGCACATCAGAAAAAGACACTCCACATATATCTGTCAAAGTATTTTACATATTCTTACTAGCTATCAAAGGATCAATATCTCTTTTGGTTATGTAGCAGAAATCATCAAATCCCTGGAATAGGTAGTGTCACGAAATTATGAGGATCTATAGTTATTAATTTTTTAATTGAATTTAAGTTTATTAAATTTAAATAACATGTCAAACTTGATTAAAAGCCAATCTCCCTCAGGGATAAGGACTTCCATTAGTAACATTCTTTTACTTGTGCAGTGAGGAGATTAGAAGGAATTGAAACAAATATAGATTGATTTTTCTGGGAAGAGGGTGCCCTTTATTCTTCACTATGAACAGTCATGCTGTTGTTAGGGTGCTTCTATACATAACAACTCCTTTGCCTAATTAAATTTTTTAGAGTTTCCTTTGTGATCCATAAAAGCATCTTTGTCAAAAATGATCACCATCAAAACATGTAAGCTCTTTTTGATCTTTGAAAAGCGTACCTTACCCTTAAAATCATGTTTTTATCAGATATAGATAACTAAGAGGAGAAATGTGTATGAGATTGCTGGAACTCCTAAGAGAGACTAATTTCTTTCAGCAATTCTTACATTCTCTTTACTATTTTTCCACACAGTTTTACATAAAACAAGTTCATTCATGTAGTGCCAGTGTGCAACCCCTCTTTGGATAGGGATTTTTGAACCTCAGAATAACAATTAGGAAAGCAGAGACCAAAGAAATACATGTATCACAAAGAACCTTGTCAGCTGGTTAAATCTGACCAATGGTCTATTTTCCAGTGCTTCAGGATCATCAGTACCATACACATGTTGTTTTATTAATTTACTTTGCTGTTGCTCAAAAGAGGAAAAGTATCTTGTCCCACAAGGTATTAGCCCAGACTCTCAGGTTATATTGCCACTATTAAATGGCTACAGGCAATTTAAACACCTCTCTAATGCAATTTTTATTCGCTTGTGAACTGCAAACATTAGCTACAGTAACAGTTTCAGATTTCTGACACCTGCGAACCAGAGAAAGCTGACAGATTATGGGGTAATAGTGCAACAGCAGTAGTGTGCATTTTATGCACCATCCAAGCCTGCATTTTAAATAACAGGAGCATCACACAGCAACCAATGGCAGAATGACTTAAAGACCTTGGTCTTACCCTTTGTTTTCAAGTCGTTTAATACCTTTGATTCCATGGGCAGTTTATCGCTCACTAGCTTTATCTCAATATTTCGGGACGCCAGTTCAAGCAGTTTTTCAAAAAGACGCTGACCCTGGGAAGGACATTAAATGAAAGCAGAAGCTTTTAGACACAGAATTGATCAAACTGCATATCAACAAATTAAAAAAGGATGTTAAAACAACATCTTTATAAACAACATCTGAGTAACTATGTTCCTAGATATGACTAAACCTAACCAAAAGGTATGCAACTCAAATTAGTTTTCTTGGAGAAATACTGCTCTGAAGGCCAAAAATGTTTCTTACTTTTTCCAGATTGCGCAATATTGACAAGGTGACAGGTGTCAGGCAGAAAATGAAGTGTCCAGGGGTTTTATGCTACATAAGCATATTTTGACATTAACTTTCTTCTAAATAATCATAATCTGTTGACATAGTATTAAAAGCTCAAGGAAAACAGTTTATAACATTTTTTTTATATTGAGTGATATTTGTGCAAGTGGTTCTAATCACAGTACAACACATTCCTAAGTAGTTGAATGCTCATCTTCAGATGAGTTATACCAAGAAGGATAATAATGATCTATAGGCATTTTATGTGCACTTAATTTTTATGCTGCTGCAAAATTTTACTATTTAAACACTATTTCTAACACAGAACAAGAAAAGGAAAGTGAGCTGGATACATGTCAAAACAGAAATTTTATATGAAAAATAGAATTCTAATTCACCCTGTTTTTCCATATCCAAGAAACAAACAAGAAGTAAAACTTCTGATTGCATTGTAAATGGTAAAATTTTAGGTTCAGTATCTTAAATAAAATAAAAAAAAAATTAGTAACATCCAACTAGACCATGTGAATAATATACTCTCCAGTGTAACACTCCTGTGTTGTTACCACAATTACAACCAGTGCTCACTTCCTTGGTGCTGTTCTAATCTGGTACTGCAAACACCATGTTCAATTAGCAGTCCAATACAGAAAGACTTTGGGTTTATGACACCTACCTACACAGTTCACTTTAGATTCAATTTAATGTTTGCCCCAGGGTAAACTCTAAAGAAAAAAGCAATAGCTACACATCAACTTTCAAACAAACACGTAGAAGATAAAGCTCTTCATAGAAACATGTTATATAATTCTCTGTACAAACCAAGAATCTTAAAATAATCCTTCCAATCAACAAAATTGACTAAACCAAGGACAGTTTGGGTTGATATGATGCAGCATGGACCAACAAAATCTCAGACAAATGCCCTCCCCAGACACTGAAAACCCATTAGCAGCAGTGAGGGGAAGGCTTAGAAATTTGCCCTATAATTGCCTAGACAGATTGATACTTTGAGCCTTGCTGGGCTTTTAGCATTACACAGTGCTTCCCCAGTCTAAAGTACAGACCTGTTTTCTATTTTCATATATTATTTTGAATATATGTGGCAAAACAAAAATACCCATCCCCCTGAAATATAGCTTTCTCAAAAATATCAGTCAGCCAGAGGCTGCAATGGAAACAGAACTACTGCTTGTTTTACTTTTGCCATGTATGCCAGCTTGCTCACTCAACTCCATAGTACAGCTCCCTGCTCATCCCAAGGGCTCAAAAGACCTTTGCAGCGAACACAATGTTGCCATAGTGAAAGCATTAAAGACTAGCTAACAGAACAGAAAAACAAAAACATTCTTTGCAACAAGTTCTAAATGCTTCTTTTACTCAGATTCAGCATTTCTCAAGGTGACTAGGTGGTTCCATATGTAAGAAATACCATTCATGATTTTAACTCACACACCCAAGACTCCCAAGTTGCTGTGTAAGTCAAGGAGTGGCTTTCCCTCACGTACCTCCTAAAAAAACCCCAAATTCTTACACCAGAGATCGTGTTGGGTCTTTTTAAGAAGAAGAGCAGATGTTAGAGAGCATGTAAGAATTAAAGAGGCAGGAGTGTGGAGGAGATGGATGATGCATATGGAGTTATGCAGCTGCTCCAGCCTGATTCTGGGGAGCAGAGATGCAGTGACCGGTGTTGCTGGGTGCCCTGCTCCCTCCAAGAGGGTTTTTCGTACAAGTTCTACTGTCTGGAACTCCTAGACTCTAACCAAATCTGGGAGCAGCCATCACTGTCCTGCTGTCTGCTGAATTTCCAGTCCTTGCTTGGACCTATCCCCCAGCTACCCCAAAGCATCAGGCTCCTGGCATCTCAGAGCTCAGCCAGCCTTTTATGTGCTTCCATGTGGGGCCCCCAACTGGAAACACCAGCACTTTTGGTTTTCATTAGCTACACCTTTGCAAAAGTCAGCACAGAAATTCAAGGATTAAAAGGTGTGCATTATGCATATTAACTAATACCATGTAAGTAGAAAAAGCTATTCAGGTTCTCTGTGTTGATTCCATTTACTACATAGACAGATAAACACTGTTTTTGTTTAGGTTACCTGTAAAAATTGATTTTGTCTAAAAGAACAGCAGAAAATTCTGGCATACAGAAATGAACATGGAAAATGCATTCATAAATTCAATGAAAAATTATTATCATTATCAATACAAATTAATGGGTTAACTGTTCTGACAAAGAAATGCTTAGAAAATTAATGTCTAAAACTGATAAAATTAATTGCTTCAGGGGATGGCTCCTAATTGCATTTCCTATAACTACAATAGGTAGTTATTTTTGGATATTATTATCACTTCTACCTGCAGGAGATTATAGTCATGTATTATTTATAAAAGCTTTGATAAACAAGCCTGGACTTTCTGTATTAATTACAGTTTGGTCAAAAAAGAACCTGGCAGCACCTTCTGAGTTTTCCCTGATGTAACCAACACAGCTGTCTCGTACAGACCATGCTGCCTGCTGAACAGCCCATCCTATGTGTTCATAGATTGCCTGGAGTGTAGCCCTGCATGCCAATGAAACCATCTCCTCTGAAAATGCATCTGTTTCCCCATCAGGGACACCACAAGCTATTCAATTACGGCATTTTTTTTCCAATTATGTTTATGAATGGTAAAATCTCAGATTGATTCAACATTTAAAACATTTCTAAGTAGTGATGGTTAAAACTAGGAGTGACCTCACCACAAATATTTGTATTTAAACAGGTACATAAAAACAACCACCAGTGACAAAACTGGAAAGAATTCCCTTTGTCTCACCTATCACTGCATCATCCCTCAGCAGGCATTCATACCCCCAAGGCTTAAGATCTACGAAGAAAACTATGAAAAATTCACAACTAGCTTTTAAAAGCAAGCACATATGACAGTAAATGGGGTTACTAGAAATTCTTCCCACAGTGCTGAAGAACCTAGACTTCTTCTCCATTAATATTAATTGGAAACTCAGTTGCTACAATTTCTGACATGTTTACTTGCAATTTTACTGGTTTGTTCTATGAAAAGGAAAAAAGATGGGACAGAAGGTCTGAAATGTTTTGTTACTGCTGTCAGAACATTTGAAATGCTTCTACTGAATACAAACCCTTATACTGTCATTCAAACCACATTCCTTTTGTGAGACAATACCAGGCTGCTGCACCACTACGTGACAGTGATCAGAAGCATTTCTATAAACCCAGCTTGTGAGGACTGAGAAATAGGAGCAGCCACGTGCTGTGAAACTGCTACCTGATAGCAAAATCTGCCTTTTAACAAATAATACCACCAGAAATCTGCTTATTCTGATAAAATATTATTTTGCACTTTTTGCTGGGCTGTTTGAAAAATACCAAAAGTGACAAAATATAATGTAGTAAGTATTTATGACAAGAAAAAATTTTTTGCATGGTGGCTTTAAACCAATCTCAAACATCAGTCACAACTGTACCTGCTACAGAAAACTGGTGAATTAAAATAACCCCAAAGTTGTCAATACCAAAAGGTCCCGAAATTTCCCCCAATTTATTGGCAGACTCTAGGCAGGCTGATTGAAGCCTCACTGATTTCCCTTGTCTACTCTTGTCTCTGTCAGCATAGGCTCCTCATTAGAAATAAAATGGGGAGATACAAACATGAAAAAGCTGTATTTACTGAAGGACTCTCAAATTGCATTATTGTATTCTTCAGTAACAGATTCCTACAGTTAAGAAAATGCTTATCTTTTTAATCCCACAAAAAAAGTCTGGTTATCTCATAGACTTTTCTTCTGGTTTTATACAGATATATTTCTACTATTTTTTCCCAAGTTTTCCCAAAATCAAGCCTCTGGGCATATTTCTAAAACATCACTAAAAACTATATCATGCTGGCAGAAACCAAGAGAGCAAATAAATAAAGAAATCCTAACTTTTACAACTGCTATTTAATACAGAACAAAGAAACCTTAATGCTTCCCTCTATTCTTCTAACTAAACAGCTAATGCAAAGGAAAGGAATATGCTTTCATTTTAAAAACCCTCCTTTCACTGAATTTATTTTGCATGCCTCAGCCAGTACCAGGGAAACACCATTACCTGAAGAGGAGAGATGTTTATGTTAAGATAAGCTTATAGATCTCTATGGCTGATCCTATCCAATTTCCACTGGGAGTTGCTAGATTTGGAGATATCCTCTTCATATTTATTTGCATTTTTAAGTAATTTTCAAGGAAGGGAACTTAAGCTCTTGAACTAACATTTGTTCTACCAAACAAATCACTTAAGCTCCTTGGGCAATGCATGTGTGAGTGACTCATGACTTCTCATCAGAGATTCATTACAAAGCTGGACAGCTGCCTTACATGAGACAAGAGTATCAGATGGATGGGGGACTTCTTTCACCAAGCCATATGGGAGATGCACAGTAGGTTGGTGAATAAAATCAGAAGCATCCATTTTTTATGTGATACTTGTAAAAATCATATGCAGATCTGCCCTTGATCATCTTATGTTTATCAAAATATCCACCCACGGACAACATACACATGGCAATACCAATAAGCCATGATGGCATTGATTCTGATTTGTGAGAAACAAATTGAAGTTTGTGAAGAACTTGCTGGAAATCTAAAAGGTCACTCTGAATTAAAGTTTCAAAACATAAGACGGCCCAGAGGAAATGAACTGTGAAAACTGTGAACTGGCATGATCTTGTATTAACCTCTGTCTTTTCACTGAAAATGAATCAAAAGCCATCCTCAAAAAGAATAAAAGCTTCCATTTTCCTCTACTGTCTCTAAACATAGATTACCACAGGAAAAGTCAAATACTTACATTCCACAAAAACTTCAGTGCTGCTACAAGACAAACTACCCTGCTATTTAAAAACACACATATGACAGTACAAACTCGCCAAAATATGTGGATTTCTTCTGAATGAGAAAAGCAGCACAGAGAGAATTCACTATTTTGCCAAGCAAATATTTGTTTATCTGACTGTTTTATCTGTTGAAGAACAGAAACACTGTCTCATCATGTGTCTGTCTTTAGAGAATCCAATTTAGCAAAACTCATCATATCAGATGACTGAGCGCAGCTGTTGTGACCTGGTCAGCTCAGCTGGCAACAAATATTTAGATTTATAACAACAAAATACAGACAAGCAAGAGTCAAGGGCACCAGGTAATGTACACACAAACAAAAATACAGAAAAATACAGCAGGAAGTTCTGCAATTTTATATATGCAAATGTATACATATCTATGTCCAACATACATTTGGACAATATATGTATGTGTGTGTACAAAGTTGTAGAATTTCCTGCTGTAGTTTTCTTCAATATGTATATTGCCCATATGTGTGTGTACATGTATTTATGCATCTATGCATGTGACTACACAGAAGCATACAGAGAATGTAATTAAACCTTGTAATGAATCGAGAAAAAGAAATCTAGCCAACTCTGCTTTTCTTCAAAAACCCATGTCTGTTCAAGTGCTCTTCTGGAGAACCTTGCCCTCCAATTTGACTTGAATATTCATAAAATGGAAATTGCTACTTATATAGCAGGATGTGAGTCCATATGGAAAATGATTATGTCCTTAATTTCTCAAAAACAAGACTTATTCAAGGAACAACTAGAACTCATCCACTAAGCACTCTACTACCTGGGAGTTTTGCATCTCATCCCCTTACCTTTCATAATGCTTCTGCTATGCTGGGCAAATTTCCCCAAACTCAAATTGTAAAGACTTGAGGGCATTTGACTTATTCTTCAAACAATTACTAGATTATAGTTACTGAAGCTTCTCAGAAATTTCACTTCCACTTCACTGAGTGGTGAAAGCAGATGTAACAATACAAGTTTTCTCCCTTCCCTTTCACAGAGTGAGCTCTGTGTACATTCTCTAGGGCAGCAATTTGCTAAGAAACACTGCCTCTTGGCAATTTTTTAGCAATCAGACTGGCCAATAACAATACAGTGTTTTAGCATGAATAGACAAGCTTAACAGAAAGATCTATCAGCTGTTCTGGCCACGCTGCCCTACAAATGAGAAAATGACTGGAATATTAATTGCCTTTAAACAGAAGTAATTACTCAGTTTTGTAAGACTATTAGCAGGCAGAAAAAGATAGCTAGAATAGAGTATTATGAAAAATGTTTTATTTTTCCGGCTTTAACTGTGCATTTGAGGACAAAAGACCAAATCCACTTCTTAGACATCTCTTCTTCCTTTCCCTGCTGAATGGTATCTTACAGTTTTTACTTTGCAATGCAAGTGTGGAAAAGGGAATGGATTTGATGCTTAACTACTGGAATCCCAATTTAAATTTTGCTATCTTATATCCTCTGTTTGGGATCTGTTGGGCTCTGCCAGTTTTAAAGCAAATGACATGATGAATTTTTTTTGACAAAATATTTTTGAAAGATTCATGTACATACCAATTCATGCACATCCTAGAAACATCTAAGGCACTATCTCCTTGAATTCATCTGCATGAATGACAGTACATGGGTTTGAAGCTACTTAGGCAATAAATTTAAATAAAGCTTAGCTGCACAATTACATTGTGAAGAAGTCAATATTTTGATATTCCACATAAATCTATTCACAAACCACATTCCAATATTTAGAAGCATTCTAAAATGTAGGATTTGCATTACATTTTCTATTCATCTGCTCATCTTATATTTTCAGTATTTTAAATGGACATGCAGCAAACATTTTCTGAAGAAAAGTTAATGTATGCTGCTCAACTAGGCTACATCTATTTCAAAAGAAGCAGAATATAGTTGGTTAGAATAACAGGATTTGCCTATCATCTACCAAAAGGCATTTTTTACTGCACTGCATCAACAGAACTAGAAAGGAAAGCCAAGAGTTTATGCCATGGTAAAACAGAGTCGATTCCTTACAGATACCTGGCTGTCATTTTAGCACCATTTCATGTCCGCTGAGTGGCTACTTTCAGCAAAAAATCTATCTAGTGGAAAAGAGGAGATACTCTCAGCCTATACCTTCTTCCATGTCTTAGTTTCACAAGTGATGCTAAATGGAAACCTTTCCTAACCATATTTCTAAGAGGATTGCTCTCAAGAATGAAGTTTATTGGCACAGCATCACTGTAATGCATGTCTGCCTTATTCACTATGATTTATGGTTTTTCATGCTGTTTTTAATTGCAGAAATCTTGAACACTGCTTCCTCCCAAGACTAATTTGGAAAAGCTATGAATCATCTGATACAATATTGTTCTCTGTAAGTGCAATTCTATCAATCTATTTGGATAGAGAATTAATTCATATGCTTGCCTTTTATTTCATCAGTAGCATCAAATATAAAATTATTGTATAGATTTATGAATATTACCAAATAGGTGGCTATGCTAATATAGATACAATTTGACAGCTTTCTTAAGGTTACACAATGTTTTTCTTTCCTAAAATGGAAGTGTTACAAGTATATGTTGGATGTTATCCAGTCCAAGCAAACTACTGCTCTTAGAAACTTTTGTATTGGCAGGAAAATCTCCATAAGAAAATGATTTTTAGACTACCCAAACAAATAGTTCTGCTACAGGGAAGGGTTTTAGTTCTGTAAAATTAAGTTTGGCAATAAGAACAAACTGTTAAGGTCCCACTCTTTTGTTAGGCTAGAACATACCTGGCATGCTGATGGATGACTGTGATTGAGGTCCCACTGGGAAGATACTATGTCAACAGACTTTTCAGCCATATTAAGCAAATTCATCCAGCCTTGGAAAAGAGACAAATGGGATGGTGCACTGTCTGAATAGTTGATCCCTTCAGGAATATTTTCCACAAGAGCAACCCTGAGAATAGATAAGGAAAAAATAACCACTTAGCAAAAGCACTTTTTTTATTAGAAGGCTCCAAATTGTAAAGAACTTCAGATTTTGGGCCTGGAATTCAATATCTGCTCCCAGAGGCTCTCAGCCGTTTGCCATCCTGTAACTCTCTCTGAAGCATCTGACTGTCATGCTCCACACTTCCCAGAACAATGAAGTGCAGAAGTGACCTATTGCTAAAGCAGCAAAGCCAATCAAGCTTTCAAAGCTCTGAAAAATTAGCTTGCACAGAGGAAAGGTTATTTCCTACAACACAGTAAGTGGGAACCAGTCCTTAAGGTGAGCATGGGAAGAATGAAACAATCTCCTCTTTCTTTGCCACTCTCATCTCTGAATATATTTTCTTCTCTCTAAAGAATGTGGCAAGATGTACACTCCTGGCATTCTCTTAGGTCTGCTTTTACAGTTGACATTTGATTACACTGAAGATTCTAAATATGAATTCTCCCTTTCCAACTGCTCTAAGCTCCCCAATTTTTTTGCTTTTGTTTACCTATGTAAGGCTCTAACTGGGACCCAGTGGTTATAAAAAGAATTACGACCTTTTAGTTTCTTGCTCTTTTGGAAAGCTCTTTGATCTTACTGTCTACAGTATTCAAAACATTTTCAAATTAGAGTACACAAACTCATATGGATACAATCACACCCAGGAAGCTGAACAAGCATCGTAGCAAACTGTCATCTTAAAACATGCTCCTTTGCTTCAGAGAAATGATGTGTTTCATTCAGCACCTCACTGCTAGATTTCCTTAAATTGCAGCAGGTAAAGCTTCTTTCTACACTTAGTAGAGGAATTTTAAAATGAAATAAAGTCAAACAAGTTCTTCAACTCTGTCTTTAGGTAAAGAGAATAAATTTTCATATAAATACCTCCAACATCTGCCACTTCTACTGTGAGTGATACAAACTAGATGTAGGAAAGCTGTAATAGGAACTTGGAGAACACTCCTCTATTATATACAAGTAAATCAAGCATTTCCACACTGGTTTTATATTTGTCAATAGTGTTAATTATCAACTCTAGTAATACGAATAAAATTTGTAAATGTTAAGTAAATCATTATTACAAAATTCCAGGGTAAAAGAGATTTGTACACATTTTGACTCTTAGAAAAACAGATTAGTGCAGTATATACTATTAATTCAGTTCATCCTAGAGGGCTCACATGGAAACTTTTAGAGCTATTTCAGAATATCAAGCATGATATTGTAAAGTGAACCCATTAAAAGACTGAAGATTGGTACTCTTAAAAAATGTTAAGACAACCCAGCAAGAATTGTGACAAAGTAAAGCCATGGTCATTTTCACATTCAATCTCCTGGCCTGGCAAAAAATCCCACCACCCAAACCAGAGCAGGCACAGCTCCTCCTGTATGTTCTCTTATTCCCCAAATCTGTCAAACAACGTAGGTATAAGCTGCAATTACCAATGACACTCTCCACAATTTACTTTGAACACACTATTCTATTTATAAACATTTAACTTAGCTACATTGCAGTAATGAAGTTGAAAATCAGCAAATAAAATGTTAAAAACACAACTAGATTTTTAAATATCTTTAAAGTATATTTTATTCTAAAACATTCTACCTACCTTGTTTACAAAATTTCTGAAATAACTAGTGCTCTAAAAATCAAGTGCTCTTTTTAAAGCATTTAAAAATAAACTGTTTTACTCTAACACTCAGAGTTTTAAGCTTACTTTTCCAAATAATCCTGCTACAGAATTTCATAAAACTTTGGTTAGATCCCTTGAAAGCCTGGCTTGTTCTTTTTCAATAATTAGGCTTACAAATCATATTGCATCGGCTCTTAGCATGCCCATGTTTCCAGAACTTTTTTATGCAGAGTTGTAGGACAGCCACCTTCAAAGAGGAAGAAATTGAAGCTGAGAAGATAATGTGGTCTCTACAAGGACATGAAATCTCCTTCATAATCTAGTTGCAAAGATCAGAAATGAATGCACCTCTTTCTGAAATCTTCCATCCCCAACTCAATCACATCTAGATACAGTAAAGAGTTATTCTGAATATGCTTCAAATATATTCTTAATACCAAATAATTTTTCAAAAACAAAATTATGTCAAATGTGGTTCTGATTTAGCTAGAATTTAAAAGTCCACAACACTCTCTTGAACAAGCAGTGACCAAAATTTCCCGACATTAGAATATTGCCTGATATATACAGTGTTTTCTAGTGGAACCCATGCAAATCAATTACACAGGAGCCTACAAAATAACTGATAGGACTAAATCTGTCACAGCCACTTCCAGTGGTTGTTAGTAGTGTTTCCTATAAGCTGTACTGAACTTGTGCCTCATTGGAGAACATTAGCTTAACTTCCACTTCTCCTGTCTCTTTCTCTGGCAAGTTGAGAGCCACCAAAAACCTAACTCTGCCACAGAAGGCCTAAGATGACCTGGAGGTCATGTAGCTCAATGCTCCTTGCCAAATGAGGGCCAATCCAGCAGGTTGATCAGGACACTATCCAGTCAGGGTTCTGCATATTTCCAATATCTCCAAACCTAAAACTCATCATATTTGAGATGATGGACCTGACCCAGCCAAACACATACGTGTTTATTTCTGACTTCACACTATTTAGGTGTGCATTAAGCTATAATGCAGGAAGAGTTGTGGGTCATTACTGTTCACATACATTTTGTTACAGATACATCAAGATATGCACAAAAGTTGGGTTCTTCCTCATTTGTCACGGGTTAAAACTTTTTACTTTTTAAAAGAAAGTAGCAAGGAATATTTACTGGGCAATAAGGAATTCAGCTCCTCCTAAAAGGGCCCTTGCCAAGGACAAGGTGCCTCTTGGCAAGGAAATTTGTCCTGACTATTGCTCTTCACTGGGAGAACATCTCCCAGCTTCTATATCTGTGTCGCATTCACCAGGCTGTGAGACCAGCACTAAAGAGCACACATGACTGCACAGCTCCTGCCATTGTAAAATTTGGGTTTGGTTGTCCAGTAGAAGCCAAATGCATTCCAGTTAACAAAACTGTTATTCAGAACAGACACTATCTGGTAATATTTTTCTTACTCTTCCATTTTACCAAATAGCAAGTACAGGGCAGTGGTCACAGCAGCAAGCCTGAGTCCGAGAAGGGTTTGGACAATGTTCTCAGGAACACGATGTGATTCTTGGGATGTCCTGTGCAGGGCCAGGATCTGCACTCAATTATCCAGATGGGGCCCTTCCAACTCATCATATTCTATGATTCTACTTTGTGTTCTTTAGCAAAAATGAAAGGAAAAAAAAAAAGGAAAAAAAGAAGACATTTCATCTAGCTAGGGCACTAGTTAAAATGTTGTTTTCAGCGTGTAGATTTATCTTTAATGATTAATTGATTCAGCCATAAAATTCTGATGTTAAAACCCAACACCAAGCTCAGAAGTAACACAAAAAGCCAACCACCAATTTTTTATACTAAGTGATTTTGCATTTGTAATATCCCCTTTTTATTTGTCACAATAGCAAAGTTCCAATGCTTAGTCAAGATGAGTTTCATTAAAACTTCTGTGCAAAAATTTGAGTTTGCAAGCCCCAATTCCATCAATAAAAGCTAAATTTAGTTTTCATTTTTGTTCCAATATGACCCACAAAGAGGTTCTTCAAATATGGCATTACAAAAACTTCCAAGAGGGAAGGTCACTTACAGACCTTGAGAAAAGTTAGACATGGTAACATAATTTATTCTGAGAAAATGGCATATTAATGAAGCAAAACACTAATGTACCATGGTGATTAAAACAGATTTCCTGATTTCCTATCCTCAAAATCATTAGCAGGTAACCTTACACCTGTTGAATGAAGATCTCCTTCTTCTCTCTGGTTCCCTGGTGCTCTATTTCATCAGAGAATGCCAACATAGGCTTGCCTCTTCAGTTTTACAATTGAATATCCTTAAAACTACCTCACACAGACTGAGAAAGTAATGTTACACAATTTCTGTGAAGTTAGACAGAGAGACAAGGGGCAGAGTGAGATCAAAACTCCTCTTAGCTTAAAGAAATGGGGCAATAGGACAGTATTTGACATAATGCTGCTCTATTTCAGACAAGGGAGAGAAAAAAAGGGAAGATAATTGAGAAAGGGATATGAATTCTGCCCCAGCACTATGGTCCTATTTAAAGATACCCTCTTGTGACTCCTTTTTCTTTCTTTCTTAACCCAGAAGCCCTGGAATCACCATCCCCTGGCCTGAAGGACCACATCTACTCACAGAGCTCCAGTTCAGCTTGTAACATCAGAATCTTAATGTTTATTCCAAACCTACCATCTTTCTCAGTGCTTTCAATTAAATCTTTCACCATGTCTCTTTTAAACCCTCCACATCCTTCTTCATCACATCCCTTCTACCACTCTTCCCCATCAGATCTAATCATTAGCCATCATCCTGGCCAAGAGCACCTTCTCTTCAGTTCTCAACCGAAACACGGCTCCAGCTCTTGATTCTGAAAGAGATTAACAAATCCCCTTCTAGACAGGGTACAGTTACAATTTCAAAAACATGTAAAACAAACACTGTTTTCTGGGTTCACAGAGAAAATATCCTAAAAAAATAGGGAAAGTATAGCACAACTGTATTTGGATATTCTACTTAAAGACAGTGGTAATGATTTGGAAGATCAAGTGCAATAAGTCTGCTTTGAGATCAGAACTGAAGCATAAAGGTATCCAGTATATTTGGATAATTACATGGTATATCCAGTAAAGAAAAATCAAACCGTGCATTGCAGTAATTTATTGTTTTTTAATTTATTACATCTAATACTTTCAGGATGAGAAGTTACAAAATGTGCTATCATATACTTGTGCTATGAATTTCAATTTTAAATAAAATATGTTTGACCCATTATAAGGAATTCGACAGAACACCAGAGCTAAAAGTGAACTGCAAAGCAGCTGAGATTGAATTTACAAAGGACTGCAAGTGCAAGCCCAGTACT